TCCTTTATCTTCTCCACAGAAGCAAAAAGAGCTTTTCTTCTAGTCTTTTTCAACCACTGCACAAAGCCAAGTAGATAGAGCTCATTGAGAAAAGAAAAGACTAGTGTTGACAAATAAAAAGTCCAATAGTGACTACTACTCACCCTTCCGAATCGATAAATGGAGCGTTGGGCAAACAAGCAAACAAAAACCATAACAGTGGTGACTGTTGCAACTGACCATGTTGGTGTTTCCTTCAATGACCTTCCTTCCCTAAAAGCTCCTTCCATATTTTCTTCAAGATCCACCAAATGGGATCTTCATCTCGATTTAGACTAATAATACTATAAATTTTCACTTATTTAATTTAAGAATAAACAAAGGGGAAAGAGCAGAGCTACAAATGCTAACATCTTTTTTCTTTTTGTTTCCCCAGAGTCCGACCCTCTCACATGCATGCTCTTACCTCTACCTAACACCCCCCCCCACCCCGACCCTAACTCCCTCTTTTTATGCATGCCCCTTGCTCTTCTTCAACTTTCCTTTCTTTTTTTTTCTTCCAATGTTCCATTACGGTACATTATATTAAAAATAGTTACTCAATTATATTTGAAAAATAAATAGTGTAATTTCTTTTTTGGGTATATTTTATTTTGGTTATTAAATACTATTCCCTCCACTCCTATCCAGTTATCATCATTTTAGATTTTACCTACATTTAAAAAATTATGTAAAATTATCATTTTGTCCTTACTTGATGTTAGATTTTCAATAAATGAATATACACTAAATTATTTTGGTTAATTAATTTGACAAATCAATATGAATTAATCACTTGGTTTTAATACGTTGATCAAATGCATAATTTCAATTGCTAAACTCTCAAGGTAAAATAGAAAAATAATGTTATTTATGTATTGATTTTATGAAATGACAAATATCAAGAAATATTTGCTTTTTAGTACTGACGACATATAATAAGAACGGATGAAATATTCAATATCTAAGATATTTCCTAAAACATTAAATTTAATATATCCAAATGATAATATAGTAATTTCATCCCTACGACGAATCTATATAGTAATCTGAGATCCAATCAAATCGCCTTAGTGAAAACATTACACTCCATGTATAAAGTTAAATCTTTAATAGATATTATAAATTACCCCCCTCCCCAAACCGTCCAACCCTCACCATATACTTGAATCTTTGTACAACGATAAGGGGTTCATATGTTGAAAGAACTCTCTATTTCCAATCCTAAATGATCACTACCCACATGCTGCGACCATCTTATAATGGATACAAGTTCTCGTGAATTGTGAAGCATTAATAAAAATAAACCCCCTTACTTATTTTTGTCTTCTCTGTTTTTTGTTTAACTATGGTAAAGTATAATTTTTTAATTTGTTTGAACATGTCAAATTTAACTGTCTCATTATATTTGAACTTGTAATTTCTATACACAACATTCCTCATAATAATTAAGTTTATAAAATGAATTATCAGATATAGTCAATTTAATTATTTCTTAAGATACAGCTTACTAATCATTTTGGACATTAAAATATATGTATGAATTTATATTACTATTTATAATATCTTTATATCATTCAATGTTAGAACTAAATTTTGAAAGATAGAACAAATTTTTAAAAGAAAAATCTTCCTCTGCTTTGGCTGTTTTCATAAATTTAACCTTTTTAGGTAACTGCTCCTTTATTTGACACTCCAGTATTGCTATTATACCTACATTATGTCCTTCATAAACAATTTGAGCTCCTCTGCTTATGTAGTTTGGTTTAAAAAATTAGGAAAATCACTCAATTTGACTAATTTACTTCATGTATACAATCAAATTAATCCTAAAAGAATAATATCTCAAATAGATAATCACATATATAATTTAATAGATTAGCTCTCACATACAGTTCTTATGACATACTATTGCAAGTATTGCTTTCTTTACTTTATTTGAAGTTTTTTAAAGTTTGAAGTTGTATTTTGTGTACCCGCCCGCTAGGTCGTTTTGGGCATTAGAACTCTTCTTTTAAAAAAAAGTCTTCCCATAAATTTTAGATAGGAATTTTGAATTGTTCATTTAACTATAATTATTTAGTTGATGGATATTTGTTATATAATTAATTTTAGTTGGTAGTTAATGAGCCAAGATTGAATTTATTTAGTACCCTATGTTATCCATATGAAATAAAATAGTGGGACTCAACATTTTGTTGGGAAAGGCAAGCACAAAATAGATATGTGCACGACAAAAGCGATAGCAGAAGAAATCCAAGTCAAAACTTTTTCTTCTATTTGAACCAAGAGAAGACAAAATAATACGAGAATAAAATAGTTTGAGGCAGCAACAAACCAACAAAGCAAGAAAAATAGATCAACACAAGAGATCCAAATTTAACGTGGAAAACCTCTTCGCTCAGAAGAGTAAAAATCACAAAACCAAAGCTCCACTATAATCAACAAGAGTTACAAAAGTGTCCTCCAATATGGTTGTTTTACTTTTAAAAATATATATTTGGTAAAAATAGTGAAAAAAATGACTAAGTTTCGAAAAATCAATTAATCTTATGATTTAAGAAAAATCGACTTTCCAAATTACGGAGTCGTCACTTGATTTTTGATAAAATCAAGAAAAAACTTAAAATTAATTTCAAAAAATTTAAAACAGATAAAAATCGATTGAAAAGAGTTCATAGTTCAAATGTACATTCCGAGAAGGTGTTAGGCCCTCGGAATGCCCGCTAACTTGCGGTTGACCGGCGATTTGACTAAATGACCTTTTTATTAAAATAACTTTTCCAATTTTAACTAAATAAAGAGAGAACTCGTTTTAAAATATATATATATATATATATATTTCATTCTTTATTTATCATTATTTCTAAAGGGAAGCATTTAGAGGAAATTAACATAAGGGGATAACCTAAATGTTGACAAAAGTCAATAAAACGAACCAAGTAAATAAAATAGTAGTAAAAATTTATAATTATATAAATATAGTAAGAAATGACTGTCCCTGTAGAAATTAATAAAATTCCATCAAATGTTAGTCAATCGAACAAATAATAAATAAAGGAAGGAGAGGAAAGATTATTTGAACTTGGGCTAATTGCCCAAATTCATTAAATTGAACTTTGGTTCACCTGTCATATACTAAATTATTCAAGAATGTGAGCTTGGGACCTTTTTAACAATTCAAATCCTGCATGAAAAGATTTAGGGAATTTTTTTAAAATGTCATTATTTTAATATTTAATAGGGTATAGTGTCAACAATTTCAATATTTAGTGATAATGTCAAAATGTTACATTATTATGTATTTTAATTGTATTTTAATTATTTTGTTTAATTAAAAAGAATACCTAATTTATATAACAAACTAGAGCTATTTAGGGGAGAGAATAGTTATAAAAAGTAACGGATGCTTAAAACTCTCTACATCAGTTACAATTTTTTCAAATCTTGAGAATATATGTAGCCATTATTCACGATGTTCATCCGAAAAAAATTATTTCGATTTTATTGTTTTGTCATATAAACTGGGTAAACGATTTTTGAAAAATAAACAAAAACGAAAAGTCAAAATTCAGGTATGTTTTAGTTAATTAATCGTTAAATGTTTTGTATTTGATTGTGATTTGTTGCGTTTTTTTATATAATAGTATTCTGATTTGATATCATTTTTTCAACTTTAGTATACGAAACCGTATATCCAACAGAATACTTATATAATGCATCAATTGTTTAGACAAATAATAATGTTCAAATCTTTTATTTGAATTACGATTGTAACTTTATTGTTTTGTATTCTGTATACAAGTTAATGATAGTGTCATTATTTTGGTATTTAGTATTGACTTTTTTTTTACTACTAGTTTCTGAGGACGTACTTCGCACGTGTGTTCCATGTGAATTTTTGTAGATACGTTTGAATGACTAAAGTTTAATGGAAATATATATGTAAATTTAATGAATAATAAAATGTAACAATTACAAAATAAGAATAAAAACTTACGCAATATAACATTCATAGAAAACTAAATAAAGAAGTATAAAGGAGAAAAAAAAGATAAAAAGAATCAGATTTAAGAAAAAATATAATGTAGACATGAAAAAATCAGTACATAACTCTTTGAGTTCTTATCGACTCCTTTCATATCCTATCAAAATTCAAGAGGCTTCTTCATCTACTTTAACTATAGAATAAAAATGACAGCCTAATAATCTTGGTAGGAGTTTCATGAGATAAAGATGTTGAATTTATATAGATAGAATAGAAGGAATATCAAAAGAAATCTTAAAGTTTTAGTTTAAATATTTGAAGGTTATGAATATGAAAAAATGATAGTTATGTATATTAAGAGTATAAAAGTGAATAAGTAATTAACAAATAATAATAAATAAATGAAGAATATGAAAAAGAAAATTAAAATTAGCAAACCATGTAGAAAGAACAACTAAAGTTCTTATCACTTAATAAGCGTTAATGAATTTAAATTTGTGAAGATAGAGTCATTTATCACTTAATAAGCGTTAATGAATTTAAATTTGTGAAGATATAGTCATTCTTTAATAATAGTCAAGAGGACAGTATCAATGTGTGTCTCCATTTTGCAGATTTACAACCTTTAAATTATTGAATTTCGTTATTTATCATTAAGGACAATACTTTATCCACATGAATTATATTATTCATGAGAGGGGTTAAGGAAAAAATTATGAGAAGAGGAAAAATATAGCAATTTAGGTAGAAACCATTTTAAAAAAAATTATAATTATTATATACATATAGATTATAAATGATAAATATTAATTAATTGGATATTTAATTAGATATTAATCTTAAGAAGTCTAAAAGTCATTAACATTTTAATTAAATTTATACAATCAAATATTTAAATATTTTATAACAATTTAATTTATAGAAGGGGTAAAATAGTAATTCAACTTTTAACTTTTTTTGGTTCATGCTTTTAGTAATATATGATAAAGCATATATGGAGAGCATTGCTTTTATAATAAAGTATTCTGGACATCGGACTGAAGATAATTGCTATGTTGATTACACAACTGAGGCAATTATTATTAAAGAGTATGCATCGTATAAAGATTTAGTTGATGAAGTTGCTAATCAGATTGGCGTAGATTTGAGGTATAACAGATTGAAACTTAAGTATAAAATAGAAGGTAGCATTGCACCTTTGGTGATACACAACGATATGGGAATGAGGGTATATGTCTCATTGAAGAAAGAAGTTCAGAAATTCGCAAAGTATCCCATTTGTGTAACTATATTTGTGAATGATCGTGACATACATTGTAGAAATCATCATGACGAAGATATTGGCTTGTGTGTAATAAACGGAAGATGTACAACTGATAGCCAAGCAATTGTTATTAGTGCACCACTAATCAGTGATGAGTTAAGCAATTCTATTATGTGCAATATGAATCATAATGAAGTCATTGAGGATCAAGTTTATAAGAATAAACGTACTTTGAAAGCTGTGATGATGAAATATGCCATTGATAATAGATTTCAGTGGAAGACAAAAAGATCAAGTTTAGTAAGGTATTTTGTATTTAAATATATTTTAGCTTTTTTTGTTATATTAATTATTCCATATAATATCATGTCTTAATTTATTATGTTTATTTTCTTTTGTAATTCGAGCAGTTATACACTTGTTTGTGTATCTGAAAATTGTGGATGGATAATGAAGGCTTCCAACATCAATAAATCGGGAATGTTTAGAATTAGAAAGTTTGTAGATGAACATACATGTTCATTAAAAGATAAGGTGTATAGTCAGAGACAAGCAACAAGCAGTCTAGTTGGAGGTATAATAAAGCCCAAGCTAGTTGATCATAAAAGAAAGTTGACACCGAAAGACATACAAGTTGATGTTAGACTCGAACTTGGTGTAGACGTATCTTACTCTGTGGCATGGAATGCTAGGGAAAAGGCAATAAATACATTAAGGGGGACACCATCTGATTCATATAGTAAATTACCCAGTTATTTATACATATTGGACACCACTTATCCTGGATTGCATATAAGATTGAAGAAGACGGAAGAAAATAAATTTCTATATGTCTTTATAGCTTTGTTTCCTTTCATAAAAGGTTTTGAAAGTTGTAAGCCAATAGTTGTAGTAGACGGCAGCCATTTCAGAGGGACTTATAATGGCTCATTTGTGTCTGCAAGCACATTGGATGGAGCAGGTAACTATTATATATTTATATTTTTTAAAAGAATTATGCACAGTATTATATTCTTTAAACATGTATTTGTTGTATTTGACGATATGTATACTAATGTTTGCACTGTATATGTTCAGGAAATATATTGCCCCTAGCATACGGTGTTATTGATTCGGAAAATGACGCATCTTGGACTTGATTTTTTGAACAGTTTAGAGAAGCTCATGGTTTAAAGGATAAAATGTGTGTTGTATCCGACAGAAACGAGAGTATTATAAAAGCAGTTTCGAGGATATACAATATACCACATTATGCTTGCACGTTTCTTTTTTGGAAGAACGTGAAGACACTTTACAAAAAGTCACATGACAGTCTTTCAGAATTGTTTTATGCAATGACAAAGGCATACAAACTTTCTGAATTTAATGAACTGATGAAATAAGTATAACTTGTTGATATTAGGGTGAAGAATTATTTGGAATTGGCTGGTTATGACAAATGGGCAAGAGTGTATGCACCAGTTGATCGAGGCACTGTGATGACATCAAACATAGCTGAATGCATAAATGCATGCCTTGTGGAAGCAAGTATTACCTATATATGATTTTCTTGAGGAAATTATACAAATGTTTGGTCGATGGAATTTCAAAATCATACATCTGCTTCTACTACATTCACGACACATTGTGGTAAAGCACAAGAAATGCTCGCTGAAAATGAAGAACTTTCACTGCGTATGACGGTATGGTTATGCTTCCTTAAAATTATTGTTTTTGTATTTAATTTAGTAAAAATTAAAGATTATGTAACTGGTATGATTTAACTTCCTTTTAAATTTGTGTAATAGGTAGTTGCGACAAGTAATTATGTGCACAGTGTTCGTCATGAAGGGGAAACATTTATTGTTTGTCTTGAAAAGAAAACTTGCACATGTAGGAGATTTCAAGTGGATGAAATACCATGTTCGCACGCTTGGGCTGTTTTGAAGAAGAAATTTCTTGATCCTGAACCGTATTGTTCTGACCTTTACAAGCCAAATACATTACTTGTTACATATGCTAATCCAATGAATCCATTACCTGATCGAAAAGATTGGAATGTGCCTGCATATGTAGAGCATGAAATAGTTAAGCCTCCAAAGTTCAAAAAACTACCTGGTAGGCCTCCAAAAAAGCTTCGTGATAAGACGTAGAATGAGCTATATGGAAAGAAGAACAAGAATTCTTGTAGTACTTGTGGTCAAAAGGGACATAATAGGCGATCATGCAGGAATGGACCACGAACTGAATAGTAGATATGTTTGAATTTGTTTTGAAAAATAAATGTACATATGTTCGTACAAATCACTTATTCTTGTAATTGATGTTTTCATAATTTTCAATGAATAATATTTTATCAAAATATATTCGTTTGCGCGTATTTACTTGTATACTAACAAAAGTCGTTTGTTAGCTCACTCCATATTAGTGCTTATCACACTGTATATCAATAAGTTGAGTTCTTCAATATGTATATGTATATGCAATAAGACTAAAAAATGTGACTTGAGAAACTGTGTTTTAATGTTCATAAACAAATATATTTGACACTATATAATACAACTAATGTGACCACATTTAAAAATAAATTATATTTTAATACAAAACATACAACTACAAGTAATGTGAATTAATGAATAATGTAATACAACAATTTTACAACTATGAATACAACATACAAAATATAATTACTAGTTCTTCAATATGTATATGTATATGCAATATGACTAAAAAAATGACTTGAGAAACTGTTATTTAATGTTCATAAACAAATATATTTGACACTATATAATACAACTAATGTGAGCACATTTGAAAATAAATTATATTTTAATATAAACAATACAACTACAGGTAAGTGACTTAATTAATGATGTCATACAACAACGATGAATACAACATACAAAAATGCAACACATGGAATTAACTAACATAATATATATACGTAAATTCAAAATGAAAAGTATGCAGAATAGACTGCTAAACAAAAGATAATCAAAATGATAAGTATGTAGAATTATCTGCTACATAAAATTTAATCAAAATGATAAGTATATAAAGCAACATGAAAGTTTAAGAAACATAAATTAACTAGTTTTAAAACACAAAGAAGTATCTTCAACAAACGCACAACTACTGTATTTCAATTGGAGCAGACACAACACGAACAAATTGAGGCATTGCATGCCTAGGGGGTGCCTCAGATTCACTAATGGCTCCGTTGTCTTGCTTTTGCTTAGCATAATTCCAAAGAAGTGTTGCATATCTTGCCCTTAAAAACATTACGTCAAATGTACCACTTGAATTTCCTTGATCATAAGACAACCACTCGGCAAAAGCAAGCATATAAATACCACAATCCCTGAATAACACATGAGAATACAAAATTAAAATTTAATATAAAAAAAATTAAAATTGACTAACAGAATTAATACAACTTACAAGCTGTCATCAGACTGTTGAGGTATATTGTCTATGAAAACTATCTCAAATAAATCATTTTCTTCTTGACTAACAGATTTATCTAAGCCTCTGTTCTTGTAATAATCATACATAGTCAACTTAAACGGAATGAGTTAAGCCAACTTGGTAACCTCGTTCCTCATTGCTGCATCATGACCTGCCGCTCTATAAGAATCATAAACGTGTACACGTCTATCATTAAGAGAGAGTACCGTCAAGGCCCAATGAAATTTTTCCTTTACATTTACAGGGATAAATACGTGATCCACCAAATGCCACGGAATGCGGGCATGAACTTTATACCCTCTAATGTAATCCCCTATAAAATGCTCTTCATCAGCGCAACATACATCACTATATAAATCTTCATACTTCTTCCAAATTGATGAAATTTTGGACGTAAACACACAATCCACAGTTGTGTATTTATACCTGCTGTCCACATCATACTTTGCTTTCTTTCTCAAATAATAAAATATAACATTGATATGTTGAACAATAAAAAATAAATAATCATTAGATAACAATAAAACAACGAAGAATAACTAAATAACTACAGTTATTACTTACCGAATCATTCAACAATTGTCCTTTTGAGTACAAATTGTAGAACCAATTTTTATTGTCTACAATATCAACACCAAAGTCAAATGGGACAGGAATGCGTGCTTTACCCTTCTTGTATCGATCCTGATCATGACGTCTAAAGAAATACACAAAAATAAAAGGTATACAATATGTACACAGTAGTTATACGACGTCTAAAGAAAATACACAAAAAATAAAAAGGTACACAAATAATAAAAGGTATACATAGAAACATATAAATTTTATAGGTATCTAATGTATTGGTGAAAATATGCACCAAATTTAGATTAACATACATAACAACAAATAAAGATTTATAATGTTATTACAACACATAATTTTAAAAGGATTAACGAAAAATATATGAGTTGTATCAATCAATTTATAAAAAACATACATTAGAATTCAATAATTTGATTAATTGAAAATACACTAACATGTTTATAATACATTAAAAAAATGAAACAGATTAAAAACTGATTATGCAAAACAGCCTCAAATAATAATAATCATGAATACAAAAAAAATCATATACTAAAAAAATTTAGAATACATAAAATAACATACCTTTTTTTTTATATTATTATGCGTATTACATACTTACTTGTTCTCATGTTTTGCAAAAAGACCTTCACGAATCCATGACCGGTGTGCATCCCACATAATGATATCACGATGGACAGAAATAAGATCAAAGATGAACGAGTGTTTCAGTTCAAAAATAATTGATTGCACCGATGAAGTACCTGATGTAAATGTTAAATTAAAAAATAACATACCATATACAAAAATTATAACAAAACATATATAAATCAGATTTAAAATACATTAAAATTTGTTATGTGTTTACAGCTGCAGATGAGCTGAACGATGTCATATATGGGGATGTATTGAAAGGTCCTGGACGTCTAATCCTATGCGCAGGTAATGGTGTGTGAACAGGACTTTTTTGGTTCTGACTATCCTTGCTAGCCTATTTTTGAATATTTGAGTTGTCATTGCTTGTGGTTTGAATGTGCATGATAATGCTCTGTTCTGAATTAATGGTATTGTCAGTAGCACAATCACTTTTTATGTCACTGAGACTTGGCATTAGAGAATCATCCAACTCAAACTGTGATTATGGTGACCCTTCCAAGGGAACAATAGATTGAATAGGGGTAGGAAATATGAACTGATCCTCTTCATCATTGTCATCTTGATCTGTAAAGTCATGTTGACTTTCAAAAACAAGTGGCCTTGTTTTTTTGGGTTTGTCAAATACAAATGATGGCTGAGATATCTGTAGTTAATAAAAAAAATTATTCAAAAGCAAATTATACCAATAAGAACAAAAGTAATTAGTTTAGATAAGTAGAACAATATACACTTGAGATTATTGCTTTAGACGAACTAAAACCAACATCTACATTGATCAGGTTACGCACAGGGAAATTGTCACAATCAACCTTTAAAAATATAAAAATATTAATTCTCAACAATATTCCCAAATGCACTATATAAATATGTAGAGTTAACCAACATACTTGTTTATCAGCACCCCCAACAATATCGGGTATGTCTCCCAGATTTGAATTTTTAAAAATTGAATGATCCTTTAAAAAAGGAGATTGGATAAAAAAATATCGTTAAACCATGTAAAAATACAAAATTTATAATGAACATTCTTGAAAAAATTCCACGCTGCCATCATTTGAGCTTTCATCACCCTCCGACTTCTCATCATCAAAAAGACCATTCAATCCATGTAGATACAAAAGTAGTCAACATATATATAAAAAATATTTATATTGAAATACAATATTAACGACATGTAAAATACAAATTAATATTAAACAAAAATGTAGTAAAAAAACATAATACAAAAATACTAATCTTTATTTTAAAAATAAGATTCAGAATACCTGATTTGATTTTCGGAAGCAACAGGTTTTGTAAAATGTTGTCGTCCTTGAGCAGCATTGTGATTGTTTGTGTTGTCCCGAAAATATATTTGATATAAAAACAATCAACATACATTTAATCACTATGGATAAAGAAATAAAGTACTTACAAATATAGAAAAAAATTAATATTAGACATATATATTACAGTATACAGAATACAGAAT